AGTAGAGCTCTTTAGAACATAGATTCCACACAAACCACTGAAGCCAAACATGAGAGGAGGCAGGAGAGGAAGCTAAACGGAAGCAGAAGGAGGGGGAAGGGAAAGGGTGAGTGGGAACCTACTTCTGTATAATATGAACAAACGATAGCTACTCAATCTTGTTGCGCAAGGCTGCTTTCATAAGCTTTGAAACAGCCACACCCATAAACACACATGAAAAGCATACATCATGAGAGGCAGACATCCGCTGAGGATTGGGCGGTTTAGAGAGGAATGCTTGGCTCGAGATCCTGCTCTCAATGTCCTTAAAAGACCTCAGGATTTCTATTTTCCCCCTGTTATCAATTCCACTCTTTCCCGTTATTCAAAGGATTAAAATTATTCTCATTAATGGAACTCAGCTGCAGACTTTTCACAATAAACCAGACTTATTACTTTTTTAAAAAATTTGCTCTCCTGATGGCTCATTTGATAATGACAGATCCCTGTATGTAACTGAACCAAATAAATGGTATCAACTTGGGCAGCATTTGGAGCCCTACAGTTGGCTTCAATGCTCCAGGCTGCGGAGGAGAGAGATTTGCCAGAGTTTTGCTTCTGATCACTGCCCACTGTTTTTTGTTGGAAAGTATATGTGTGAGTTTAATAAGTAAATGTTAGCAGCAAGCTGCACAGTTTAAACAAGTTTAACTCCAGCAATAACCCAATGCCCTCTCTGGGACTGCCAAGGCTTTGGTTTTGCCAACCTGCACCTTGTATTTTCTGGGATTAGGTGAGCAGGGTGCGTTCTCCAGAGAGTGCAAATTCTATTCCAGATACAGGGAATTTACAATACATGCGTATAACTCTCAGTCCAGCTTGGATACTCTTCAGATTGCAAGCGGTTTCCATGTATATTTGTCAGACACTGGGCTGGCCAAAAATAAATACGTAGAGGAACGTACTTGGCTATGATGCCACTATCACCATAGTCAGATGCCCTGTTGACATTAATTTTTCTTGGGTAACATGGGATGAATGGAGGCTTGCTAAATGAAGATTGAAGTACTGGGGGACAGCCAAGGTCTCTGGATCTGCATTCCAGCTTATATCAACACCTTCAGTTAAGGAGGGGAAAACCAGAAACGTGTAGTGGGAACTTTCTATCCTCCACAAAATATAATAGTTGGATGTATTTAAAGAATTAGTTTGCACCCAGTCCTAGATCCCCATTTTGCTGAGTAAAACATTTCTAAGATACACGGATTGTCTGAAATTCGTGCAGAGGTACTAGATCTGCATTGCCAGCCTAAAGAAGCTGCTTCCACCCTCTCAGCGCAAACTCACTGAGGTGCACTGTTCATTACTGTTTACTTGGGCTGTCTGTCATAACTGTGGAAATGCTTTCCACATTTCCATCTTTGTAATACAAAATGTTTTAATTTGCCCCAAGAAAATAAATGTGAAAAACAAGTAAAAATACTTACTTTAGAAAGAAAAGTTGTCTATGAAATGAAGAGAATACTGAATTGATCAATGGTTCTGAAGAAAGGTCACCAACCTGAAACATTAACTCACTTTCTTCTCTCCACAGATGCTGCCTGATCTGCTGAGTGTTCCCAGCGACTTCTGTTTTTATTTCTGAATTGATCATGCAGGTTCAATATGAATATTCACAAAATAGAGACAACTTTACCAATATCAGTTGCATTATCGTTCTACTCATGAAAATATTCTTCACATTCTCTCCTACATTATCCTCTCTATCCATTGTGATTGTCCCAAATGCTTTGCTTTATTTGTGCTAAACCATCCTCTTAACCCCCCAATAATGAAAATACATTTGCAAAAAATATACTTTCCCTATCGGCAGATAGGAGTCATTCTGGTAAGGCCCAATTTGGATCAAAATAACAAATCCTGATTTTGTTTTTAAAAAAGAATCAACATGAAAAGAAAAGAACAAAATGAAAGGACTTTCCAAGGACACACTCCAAATTCCAAGCCAGCCACAGAAGGAAGAAGAAAGAAAAAACAAATCAGAAATTCAAAAAGCAGCACTATCATCATGCAACCTGAGATACATCATGCTGTGACGACACATTTGTTGAAGTACATCATCACATCCCAAACTAGCTATTGTTCTGTAGACTCAGCAACAGCAGCATTACTCCTTCAGTGGCACCAACCAGAGGAAAAAANCAATGTCAATTTGGTTCCAGTGGGTAGCAAACATACCTTTGAGGCTAAGGTTGTGGGTTTGAGCCACTCACCTGGACTTGAACTCTGAAAAAAGACTGACAGGGAAATTCTGAAGGAGTATGATATTATTGGACAGGTTTGCCCTCAGGTGAGATATTAAACTGAGGTCCTGACTCTGGTAGCTCAGGTGGACTTGGGGGGTCTGAGCCAGCATACCCAACTTATTCAAATTCACTAAACAGAATTATTGTTTTTCTCAATACTGGTTGTGGGATATTGCTGAACAGATGACTTGAACATCACTACCCTCATAGAAATCTTCCAACATGGAAATGAGGTGTCTAGAAAACATGAAAAACGCTATATCAAATGCAAGGATTATTATTATTATTATTAACTTGATAAGCTACTGCATTAAACAAAAGTACAATTATAACTGGACTTTTTTTTAACATCTCACACCAAATGTTGGTGGAATCCTTAATTAGTACTATTAAGATTGATCAGCAAGTTTTATACTGAAATATAAGAGCAGCTCTTGCCACGTTTTCTCTCTTGCTCGATCATTAACCCGAGGGCTGGCAAGCCTGAAACAGAGTAGTGCTTCTACTGTTGCTGCGGACTCTGTTGCTTTCAAACAGCAGCTATAATTAAACTGGGTGAATTTTATTTTAAAGAAGAAACAAGGAATGCAAAAAATCTTTTTTTTTAAAAAGGTAAAATTGGCACTTGTCATGATGGTTTCTACATCAGGTCCTGCTAGATATCCAGCAGAGCCCTAAAAAAAATACATAAATCTTACCATGAACTCCCCACACACTGTCAAACATTGTACCACAAGAGCATATAATGGTGAATACAAAGTTGAATAAAATTTGAGAGCACCTCATGTGTCCTGCATTAGATAGCATAGTATCATAGAATTTTACAGCACAGAAGGAGGCAATTCGGCCCACCAAACCCATACCAACTAGTCCCGCTCATGCCCCATAGCCCTGCAAATCTGTTTCCACCACCCTTTCAGACAATGCATTTCAGTGGACTGGAATGAACTTCATGCAATGAAGTAGTTATGGCTGAGTAGATCAGAGGATGACCACCAATCAAACCAACATACACCAATCAGACTTCTGGTTTGAAACCCCCCTCAAATTCCAAGCTGTGGCTTTTGCTTTACCAAAAGCCTGCTCACTTTGCTAGTGTTATTCGATCTCCTATTTGCATTTTCCAATTCTGCCCAAGTTCTCCCAGAGAATAAACATAATTTTCCTGGAATTGCTTTCCCTGACCTGTGTGGTAAAGGAGCAAGGTCCTGTGCTGTTGTTAAAGAGGCAACAGGAGCAAAGTACTCGATTTTTATCATGATCTGAGTTTTCACTGCTGAAAGCTCAGGATTGCCAAATAAAAATCAGCACTTTCTTTGAAAGGAAAAATGCTTGAAACATTTCAAGCGGTTTTCTTAGCGTAAGGAAATAAAGCTGCTTTTCACTAATTCCTGCACGCTTCTGTTATTGAATATTTTAAGAAGTTAAAGAAAAACTTGCAATAATAATTGAAGCACTTTGAGATGTCTAGAAGACATGTTAAGGCACTATATCAAATGCAAGGATTATTATTATTATTAAGTCTAAAGAGAGATTTAAGGAATAAAAAAAAATTCATCCGCCCTGCTCTCCCTGATACATCAGAATAAAGGTACAAAACAGAAAAATACCCAGGAGCACATTGCAGCCAATAATCTAATCAAAGTGTTTGGATGGTGCATATTTAGAATAATGGATACTTTGGAGTAAATTACAGGCTGGAATCAAATCAAAGAGTTTGGATAGTGTATATATATAACATGATACATACCCTGGAGAGAGTTACAGCCTAGAATCTAATTGAGCAGTTCAGAAGATATCAAACGGAGACTAGTTTAAGCAGTTTATAACTAACTAGCAGCTGTAACCAGCAATTTGATTACCCTCTTACACATACACTGGTTAAAATAACCTCCCACATCAGTTCTGGAACAATATTAAGATTTTGTAGCTCACAATGTCACTTCAGTACTAGTTTGTTGCCTCGTCTGTACTGAATTTACTGACTTCCTAATAATACAACTTGTATTGGAAAACCATAGTTATGAATAAGTCGCTGAAGATTTTTTTTAAAAAGCAGCTGCTGGAGTGCAAGCATTCCAGCCCTTTCCATGATGTGGCTGGCATATTCGCTTGGAAGATTTAGAAGTAGAAAAATCTAATTTAAACAATAAAACACTGATTTTTTTTCAAAAAGCACCCCAGACTGAGATCTAGTAATGCAATATTCCTGTTGATCTGGTAGTCTGTCCTTAAACCCAGCAACAAGCAATCATGGATAGAGCAAAACGTTCTGGATAATCACCATCAGCTTGAATCTGCTTGGCACGTGAACCGCCTGGCACCATGTAGCACAAAGGAACTCAAATCCTGTTCTTTTTTCCCCCCACTTGATAAAAGCAAACATTTGCAATTGTCTGAAATCATATATGTGTGGCAATTTGATATTTTTAAATCTCAATTGGTGCAATACTTCTGCTCATAAAACTATAGCTTATTATATTAACAGTCACTTCAGCCTCTTGTTCATCCAGCTATCCAGTGTTCCTGACTTTTCGTAAAAAACGTGATGTGGAACATAGAGTTCAGAATCCCTGGAGCCGGGCGGTGTGGGAGGGGGGCGGGGTGATGATGAATGCATACCTTAGACTGCTTCCACCAACACAATTTGTTAATTAGTAATGGATTTGTCACCATCTGAATTACAATTTTCAAGAAAAAAGTGAATATTACTACCTGTACAGGATGCTGAATTTCATGCAGTTGTCCTGCCAATGGGGTCATCTGTTTTTTAAGTGAGGAATTCTTCACCTGCAGAGGAAACACAATGCACGTGACTGATCTGTCAGCAATCAAATCACACATACCAAAGTCTGCAATTTTATTAAGACTAATCAAAGAAAGGCAAATCAATTTCTAACTCTTCCGAATTAAGTGAGCAGGATATATCCCTCTGGGCAGATTGAACACATTCCATTCCAAGCATGGAAATTCCCATGTAAAGGTGCAAAGCACGGAACTCTCAATTTCAAATGGATGCTCTTAAAGCAGTTCGACAGGTTCCCACATGTCAGTCACCCGGCTCACAAAATAAAAATTGATAAAGGCAATTGACCCTCCAGGTACAAATGTATTGCTGAATTCTCCATGATTGTGTTTAAACCCAGTTCCTAACAATTACCACAACAGGGCACCAAACCCTATTGGGTAGGCACAAGCAAGGGCACATACTGCTACAATGACTTCCTCATCAGCTTGCTGCTGTCAGGTAGTGGCCTAGGAATCAAGCTGATGAATCCTCAACACTGCAATCACTGGTCTCAATGAAAATCGCAAAGATAAGTGGATGAAATATCTGTACTAAGCCTAATCTGTCTGAACCAACCAAAACACAGATTAATTGGACATTCATCTCATTTGATCTTCATGGGACGTTGCTGGCACAAATTAGCTGCACTGCTTGCTCATGTTGTATCAGGCACAATACATCAAAGTACCTCATTCTTTGCAGCACTTTTACATATTTTCAAATAATAATCTAACATATAAATGAAAGTATTTATTTATAAAATGCATTATGAAAATTCAACGGCATACAACTTGCCTGATGACTTGAATGGTTAAATTAGGTCTTAGTATGAAATTCAGCCATTTCCCAAATTCCTTTACTGGTTTATTGCTGTGATAAGGAACCTCAAACTTCACTTTCAAGGCCATCCATGGCCTTTCCCCCTCCTACCTCTCTGACCTGCTGACTCCCTTCCAACCTGCCCGCTCCCTCCATTCAGCGAGCTCCGGCCTGCTCCATATCTCCCACTCGACCCCCCCTACCATCGGTGGCCGGGCTTTCAGCTTCTCTGCCCCCACACTCTGGAACTCCATCCCACGGTCCCTTCACCTCGCTTCCTCCCTTGCCTCCTTCAAGGCCGGTCTCAAGACCTTTCTCTTCGATCATGCCTTTGGTCGCCCTCCCACCCCTCTGCCTTCGCTTACCCCTACACCACCCCTCCCCATTGCTTGGGCCCCGACACCTGACTGTTCAGCACTTTGGGACGTCCTCCCGACCTGAAAGACGCTCTATAAATGTAATTTTGTTTTTGTTGCCAGTGGAAAATGCACTGGATTGCATTGGGAGATAACAGAATCAGAACAGACTGTGATAGCCTCCGCTAGGATTGAAATTTCATCTTGTCCTAACGTATAAGCTCATTTTGTCCAAAATTTAAGATCATGCAAAATTCTGGAAAATACTTAAATTTCAAATTAAGAAAGTGTTTAACAATTTCTCACAATTCTGAGCAGCCTTAAATTTTAAAACAAAGTGGTCTGAGTGGCAAAGACTAAGTGAAATTTCATGCCTTCAGTGGAATAGTCTGCTGAATGCACTGTGTGGGCTCAGATATGAATAATGGTCACTTGGCTGTTGGAGGGCTGCCATTGCCTGTGAAATCATATCCCAGCAAGAAATAGTACCTTCAGCAGAGGAGATAAAAAAAGAAAATATCCTGTGCGTATCAGAGATGATTTCACTTTCCTCTGGATGAACTGATGAATGACAGACATGATGGCAATCCAATAGAGGCAGTCGCTCACGATATTCTACATGGGAATTGGGGCAAGGGCAGGAGAACCTAGTGCAGCAGCACAGCTGTTCTCTAAAGCTGTGGAGTCCTGTAGCTCAGTGGTTAGAGCACTCGCTTTGCAAGCGAGAGACCTGAGTTCAATTCCAGGGCGAAACCTTGGGCAAGTTTCCTTACTCCACACGCCTAATAATAATCCCTCCAAAACCAAAAACAATAATAAAATTGGCATTTTCAATCTACGACTGTTTGTGGGACATTGCTGTGCGCAATTGGCTGCCGCGTTCGCCCACAAATTTACAGTCAATTCACTTTACAGTGTGTTCTGTGAAGCGCTTTGGGACGTCCTTCCGACGTGAAAAGCGCTATATCAAATGCAAGGATTATTATTATTGTTATTATTAAAGGAAATTGATTTATCTTTCAAATATAATCACAAGTTTAAATGCATAAGTGTAATAATGAGGGCAGGAATGTACTGAAGCTGTTCTTGGTAATATCTGTCAGTCACGTATGTCACCCCGAGATTTGTATGGCATTAAAAAAATAATAATCCTTGCATTTGGTAGAGCACCTTTCATGTCAGGATGACTTCTCCAAATCCTTCACAGTATATCCTGTAAAGTGCAGTGACTGTGTATTTTGAAGGCAAATGTGGCAGCCGATTTGCCACAACAATGTCCCACAAACACCATTGAAGTGAAAAGCGAATGAACAATTTTATTTGGGGTATTGCTGGCCTGGACACCAGGAGAAACTCCCAGCTCTTTTCGAATAGTACCACGGGATCTTTATTGTTCACCTGAACAGGTAGACAGGACTTTGCTTTAACAATGCAATGCAAACCAGGAACTGCATTGAAATGTCAACCCAGTCTACAAGAGTTCAAAGTCTCAACGTGGGATATGAATTCACAACCTTCCGACTACAGAGGCGAGAGTGCTACCAATTGAAGTAGGGTGACCATTAGTGTATGAGACTGAACCTTAAATGATTAAATCAATCTATGATTTTCAAGAAGAGCATTTAGCCTTTAAACCGATCCTACGTATCCACTGAGGAGTTTATTGGGATAAGTTCAATCTGATTGGGTCTTTTTTTTGTTATCACCAACAGATGTATTGTCAAACAGTGTGCAGTTGATGTGTGATGATGATCCAGACTGTGACAATCTAAGATTTCCTGAGTGACAATGCTCGTAATGACCAGAGAAGTAGTGAGGAAGCATCACACATTTTAATTGGCTGATTGCTGATCAAATACATGTCATCCCCCAGTATTGACAACCCTGTTTCTACTGGGAACCACTAGCATCACATTTCACACATCTGTACATTTGTACATTTTCAGCTACATCCTGCTCTACCATCAGATTCAGAGCAACGTATTTCAAATCACCTCTGCTCTAAGCAATGACCAGGGCAGGGCACCAAAACATATTGGGTGGGTAAGAGTAAATGGCACATTTTGCTTGCAATGACTTGATTATCAGCTCGCTGTATCAGCGGCAGGCAGAACCAGTCAAACTGGCTTTCCCCTCTTGTCCTGAAGACAGTTCGGTTATTTGACAGAGTGAAAACAAACGTGTTGATATTGTCTTCCTGGCATCATAACTGCAGGTACCAGAGTCGGCACCACATGGCCTCTCACTGAGAGATTCAAAGGGTGTGAGGTGACTGGAATAATGAATCGCATATAATAATAATAATAATCATTGCATTTGATATAGCGCCTTATCACTTCATTGAGACGTCTCAAAGCGCATCACAGGATATACCTTCGAGTGAATTGACTGCATATTTTGGGGGCGAATGTCATCACGGTGACACGTTAGTGAACAATATTCACCGCCACTGCCACCACCAACAGCAAATTACATTTGTATAGTGCCTTTCAGGTCGGGAGGACATCCCAAGGGACCCCGAGCATATCCATAATAAATGTAGAAACACGAAACTCTGGAGTGTTGTGACTGTCGGGACTATTAAAATGTTCACTGAAACGAAACGTTTCTCCACTGTCCACAGACACCCCCTTTGATCCACGAGTATCGATTAACGCAGAAGGCGTTCCTTTGATCGGAAAAAGTGTTTCGTGGACATTCACAACTTGTTTGGTTTCCTGCGGCGAGTTTCCAGCCACGGATCCTCCATTCGCTGGGAATAAAACGCGGTGCCGTGGAATTCATCGGGAAGCGACCCGACCGACAACGTCTGTCAAATTATCCGCGCGTCCATTTTACACGGACAGGACCCTCCGCCCTCGTGGACCCGTCACCCCACGGCCGCCCCTCTGTACCTGTCTGGGACACTCGCAGTTGGTTCCCTGAGGAACGGTTGGCGATGGCTGTGTCAAATCTTTTTTTTTTTTTTTTTTTTTGGAAGCGAATACCGGAGTCTCCTTCTCCGGGAGTGGAACCCAATTCGATTCCGGGCGATCGATCTTCTTTTTTTTTTTCCCCCCTTTTTTGCTCGATGGCTACAGCCCTCGGGGGTTTATTTCCTCGAAGGGTTTTTATGGTTTCTCCAATTCCTTTTTAAATGCCAACCCAAGGCGCCCCCCCACCCCCACCACCCCACCACCCCACACACACACACCCACACACACACACCCACACACACACCCACACACACACCCCCCGGTGGTCGTTGCGTTTGGGTCGTTTCAGTGATCCGCACGTTTGAAGCGCGGCGTCTACGTGGAAAGGAATTAATATCAAGAGGGCGGGGAGTGGGTGGCGGTGGCGGTGGCGGTGGAAATTATATTAAAAAAAACAATGCAACTCACGCTGTTGAACACGTTGCGTTATGTCCCAAATGGGTGGGAGGGAGGGAGGGAGGGAGCGCCTCAAGCCGGTGCCGTCGTGTCTTCTTTGGAAGCGAAATACATTTCGGGACAAGGGGATCGGCAACAGCAACTCTGGGCAATAATCCAGTTTGGAAGTTCCCGGTGTCGGGGACCGGGTCGCAGAGATGTCCATCCAGGGCTTGTGGTAACACGTGCAATCTAACCATCCTTTGCAATGCAGTGCAGCGCTGTCCGCTTCGCCCATTCTGAGCAACATTTTAAAATAAAATATATATATATATATAAGATATATATATATATATATGATATATACGAGGAATATGATTAAGTGAAGCTTCAGTCTGTCTCGGGATCTGGTCCGCAGGTCCAGGACACACTAATACCATTAGACATGATGTGACAGAGCACCAGTCTGCAGCAGCC